AGCGCTGCCCCCCGGCCCCGGCGGGGCTCCCCCGGCGCGGCGGCGTCCCCAAAACCCGGGGGGTTGGCCCCTGGGGTGGGACACCTGCTTTGGGTTTGTGTTGGGGGGATTTGGGGCGATTTTTTTTTTTTTCCTCCTTTCCTCCCCAGATGTTCCTCTGTAAAGCTTTTGAAAATTGGCTGCTTTTCATCACAGGGCCTGGCAGCCTTTTAAACGAATAAAACTGCCAGAGAGGTGTTTTGGGGAGGTGGTCTCCTCTCTTGGCTCAGGGAGGCCGCGCAGGATGGCCGCAGGTTGAGGGCTGGGCGATGCAGGGCAGGATGCGGCCGCTCGCCAGCGCTGGCGGGGTTTGCGTTCTGGCTTGGGTTCTCACTCGCCAAACTCTTCCTTTTGCCTTAAAGCTCAGCCGTCGATGGAAGAAGTGGTACCAAAGTGGCCATTAAGAAACTGTACCGCCCGTTTCAGTCTGAACTCTTTGCCAAACGAGCCTACCGAGAGCTGCGCCTCCTGAAACACATGAAGCACGAAAACGTGAGTTGGGTTGTTAGCAGATATCTCCCCCCCGAGGCTGCAGTTTACACACCCTAAAAACAGAAGGAAAATTATGCAGAGTTGGACAGGGCAGATGTGTGGCTGCATGGAATTCAGGAGTCTTTGGGCAAGACTTGCACATCTGTCTTTTATCTGTCTGTCCTTTATCTACAAGCATCAGTTCGCACAAACTAGAATATCCTGTGGGAAACGCCACTTCACTTCCATGTAGGAAAGGTTGGTGGGGAAGGTTAGGACCATGGTAGAATTTGTGCTCAGAGCCAGTGAGAGAGATTGAGGACCAGAAATGACAATCTTCATCACTGCGTACCTGTGAGGTGCAGGGGAGTGCAGAGCATGGGTCTGTGCCTGCATATCTCGGGTGCCAGCATCTCTTTTTTTCTGAACTTGCATGAAGATGGCTACGGTACACATGTATATCCTTGGGGAGAGGGTAGGCTTTTCCTTTTTTTTATTGTTCATGAAACATTTGAAAGTTTTCGTTTCATACTATTGTGAAACAGGAAAAGTCCACAAATGACAATAAATAGCTTTACTGGGAAGCAGAGAATAGGATATAGGCTCTGCACAGATTCCTACATAATGCGAAAGAAGAAGAGCCATAGAAAGAGGTGTTGAAAGTGTCATTGAGATAAAGATACTTAGTCCCAACAGTGCTTAGTGATTTAAGAAAAAAAAAAATAGAGGAGGGATTTATGTCAAAACAGTTATTGTGGAATCAAAGCACTGACTCCATGTGAGAAGGGTCCCAGGGTGGGCATGGAGGATCACAGTAGGGGCTTTAAATTCTGTTCATCATGAATGCTTGGGGAAAAAAAAAAGGAGTTTGGAGGGAGTTGTTAAAATGATGCATAAGAGTCTGGTTTAAAATGTTAATGTGGGAGATTAGAGGATAGCTCCATTCAGATGGCCTTCAAGGAAAGCTAACAGATCAGAAGCGAGGATAAGAGAAACTGGTAATAACAGTAGCCAGTCATTGCCATTTAACGTTATGGTATTAACATTGTGAGTACCAACAATACCCAGGTTCATTTTGAAGAATAATCTGTGGGATGTCCTGACTGTCCAGGAAAAAACTGACCTTATTGCAGGCTTAAGAACCTGTATGCCTATTAACATTTTAGCCTGTATCTTTTAATGTATTTGATCACTTTATTTGATTCCTTTGGAGTAACTGCTTCATAACCGCTGCTGTATATGTTAAAGAGTTAACATTTGCAGGGAACTTGTGTCATGCATGGGCTTTCATACTCTCAGCGTTTTCTTTACTGAACATTTGGGAGCAGAGCAGCTCGTGCAATTGCCAAGCTCCTAACTGTGTCCAGAATTTTGAGATTATTTTTCTTCCATTTCCCAGAATAATCTATTGGGTAGCATTTTCCACTCCTGGTGGGTTTTATGCAGTGTATGCCCTTTAGGATAATACTCTGGAACCCCTCCATGGACCCATTTGATAATTAAAGAGTCTAGAAGAAAATGCTCGCTGGGGAACACAAACACAATCTGTGAAAGTTACAAATCAATATATATGAAGGAAGGGAGTAATTTACAGTCTTAGGAAACAGTTTGGGCCATAGAAAGAAGAATCTGGTCTATATACTAAGGAAGAGTTTTACCATGAATTATGGCATCTATTCATTAGACAACAAAGACTGAATAAATGATCCTGCAGGGATTTGTGGGCACTGTGGAGGCAGAAGCTGACTACTCCACCCCTCCGCGATGAAGCTGAGATGACAGTACAGCCCATCAAGAGAATTTCCATCCGCCTTCCCAGCTTCATACCCTTCTGTTAGTCGTTTCACCCATGGTGAACTAGGAATAGCAACGACGCCTTTTAGGATTTCTAGTCCCTGGGCTGATCCCAGGATACTCCTTTAGCCACTCCACCCATCCAAAATTAAACCAACATCACTACTCGTCGGGATTTTCAGTTCCCTCTTTGACTGACCCCCATTCTGTCAGAGCCTCTTTTTTGCATATTTCTACCAAAGAATGGATTTACAGGCAGACAGTGTGGTCCTTCCCCGTTCACGTCAGCAGTCCCCAGTGTGCTGTGCACACCTTTAGTGGTATGTACAGTAGTGGCAGGACAGCTGCCCATCGTGGCTTCCGTGGGTCTGGCTATGGAGTTCTGAACAGGCCCCACTCACATGGGTGCATATCTCCTTATAACAGGAATTAGTAGAATAGAACAGTGATTGAAATACCTTTCCTGATTCTTCTGTTAATTAATACGTTACAGTATGCTTCTATAAAATAGCAGTTATCTATCTTTCTGGCTGTACTATAAATACAACTGTTGTTAAAAATTAATAAAACTGAAGTAATTGTTTCAAAGACCACAATAAAATACCAATGCCACTGTTCTCTCTGTCTTGGGTGTTGGTGATCTAAGAATGTAGAGGAGGTGGTGTATGATAACTGGTCTAACGGTACTGCCACTATGGATTAGATTTGGGATATTGTTGCAACATTGGACTAATCTGCCAGTACAAATCTTCATCTTGCTTTTTTCCTACTTCAGAATATAAACTATTTCAAGGTTTTGTTTATTTACTAGTTAAATTTACATCCAATTCTATCTCCTGATCTGTTTTTCTTTCAAAATGACTTCTGTAATCATGATGCATTTGATGTTGGATTACATGAAGAGTGTGATGCTTTGTTTGTTTCACCATGATTACCTCTCAGTGGACCATCTCTGTCGTTCATAGCATTTGGGGAAGCGTTGTGCTAAGCACGTAGCAGTACATTATCATCGTTTATTTAACCTTCTGCTGTATTCAGAATGATGGAAGAAATTGTAATGGTCTGACACATCGTGTTAAAAATAGCATCTCTGATCCTCCATTAAGGTAGCAGAAGATACCATTGAACCCGTGCCACAGTGATATAATTCATCAGCGTGTCACGCTTCAGTGAAGAAAATGGAGGAAAACTGCTTAATACCCTAGATGACCTCCATTATGGACTTTTTGAGGAATATGCGCATCTCCTTAATGTTGAAGTGTTGTAGGATGAGCAGGAGTCCTGTAAAAACAGATATAGGAGTCATCCTCCTCAATTTTACTGGAGTTGTATTTTACCTTGCAAGGAAGCTAACTCCTGGGTCAATTTGCTTGTCTATTTAGGCATTTTCAGGAGGAGGCAACTCTGGTTGCTGGCATGACCATCTTTCATTATATGTGCTAGAGACCTTTGTTCTCCCTAATGGCTCTCAAGTGGGACATTACTTAAATGTAGTGAGGAATATTTCTATATAAACCATGGAAACTTGGTAGCATGGGACTTCTCATCAACCAGTTGCAAAAAAAATCCGGAGGAGAAATGGTGTTGAGGACCATGGGGCAGAGGCTGTGTGTGAAGAGGATGAAACCTGGCTGTTAAAAGATAAATCACTGTCTTTAATGGCACTGGTATCTATAATTTTTTGGTAGGCCTTTTAATTTGAGATGTTTCACAGACATCATAAGCTACTTCTACTGCCTAAGAAGCAGTCTAACCCAGATCAATTCCTCAGACATTGCCAAAAAGAAAAGTTAGTTTCCAGTGGGATAAGCTGCCGGATCACTCTGTAGCTGCATAAACAGATACCCTGGCACGAGAGAGGGAATGGTGTGAAAATGAGGAATAAAAACATCTAAGGCAGAATGAAGAAACCACTGGGTTTGGTGGGGTTTTTTTCTTCATTTATTCATACTAGCTTGAAGTATTCATCCCACTACAGCCTTAGCAGCTCTTGATTATGTCTTTGGCATCTGCTGCATCTTGTATAGAAGAACAGACTGTTTACCTTTAGGATTTTTTTTTTCAGTAATGCTGCTTTTGTTCCCTGTTTCTTTCCATTTTGAGTTCGGTGAAAGTGAGGACCCTTAAAACTACTTATTATGGCTCTGACTTAAAACCAAAACAAGTGAAAATATGGCTAGCATGGAAACTTTGGCCCTGGCTTTGGCTCTCATGCATGGCTTTGCATTCGTGTATTCTGAAGTTAATGGAGATGTCTGTGTGTGCAAAGCCAAACCCAGATGAGTGAGCGGAGGTGCAGAACTGTTAGTTTCATTTGGCAACTAACTTGGATTTTATGCATTTGGAATGGAAGTGATACCATGGTACCCGCTTCTGTTGAAAAAACTGCACAGTGACTCATACTGGTCCAGTCGTGGTGCCCAGCTCACATCCCAGTTTGCTAACAGAAGTTTTGAAGTTGCCAGCGGGAGCGCAAAACAGCTGGCGAGGGGGGGTGGCACTGGAGAGAGGGAGGGAGAAGCAGTGGCTTGTGCTGATGTCTTGTGTCAGAGCGGAGTGTGGATTTTATCAAAGTGTGGTACATGCACGTGTGTGTACGTATGTGTATACCTATGTATACATATAATCACACACGGGAATTCTGATGCAATTCTACCTACTTAAATTTTGAACGTGTTTCTGCCATAACATTTTTGACAAATGCCCGTTAAACTTTTTTTTGGGTGGGTTAATATTCTACAGATGTTTTCTCTTCCTGGAAACCCTTGTATATAAGAGGCAACTGCAGTATTTGTTTAAAGGTACTCTGTATTATGCTCTCATTCATTGCTTTGAGTGGAAATTATTCTCCGGTGTATTCCCACATCTGAAGACCAGTGTATGTTTTGCATTATGAGAACCATGTAGCTTTTTTTCCCCTTTTGGAAGGAATTCGGGTATCCAACAGACACCAAATTGTCTGTCTCTCTACAGTTAACGTTTCTGATGATGACGCAGGCCTTTACTTTAAGGTTGGCTAATACTTAATTCTGTTGAGTTCTTTATTTTGAAAAAATGTTGGGCTTTTTATTTACACCTACACAGTATCAACCAAGGGAGGAGTTTGTTCCAGAGAAAATAGTGGGGCACTCTATGTTCCTGCCTGAGAAAATCTTAAAACTGTCACCTTTTGCAGTTCATCTAGCCTCACGTGAGCATTGGAAGAGCAACAGCCTCGGCAGCGTACAAAATCAGACCCAGAAGGGAGTTGAGAATGAGTGATGCCTTTCCAGACGAAAGCATGCTCACTGTCTTAGAAGAGGTTTCCCACAGCAAGTCTTGCAGGACTGCACCAGCTAAAAATTCACATCCTTTGGGTACACAAGTGCCAGTGAAGTGCAATTCGGGAATCCTGGCTGGTGATGGCAAATCTCCTTACGGGTTCTTATGAAAGCAAAAATACAGTTAAAACTGGATAGTTTATTGGTGTCAAAAGGTTGTAGGGGGAAAACACTCCTGGCTACTTTTCTGCTGTCTGAAAGCTTAGCACAGCTAGGGAGCTAATAGGACACTAAAGTCACTTATTTTGGTACTTAAAAGCCAATAAATCAGCATAGAAGGATCAGTTGTCACTTCTGCTTATTTTCACAAACCTGTCTAATAGGTAGGTGTTTTACTTAGGCTGGGCTTCAGCTGACAGGCGTTTATTCACACCCCAGTCTTGGGTACTAATAAAGCAGACTGGTTAGCCTAGTCCGGTAAACGAAAATAAGGAAGACAGCACTGAGACCCAAACCTTCCCTTTCGATTGCCATCAAGTCCTGTTGACAGGATTTGGATCTGTTCAGAGTTGCGTGTGGGTCCTTTGAAAGAAGAGTGTGGTGATGCTCGTGGGTACAACTTGTGCCTGCCGGCGTGGTGACTGGCCAGAGGAAAGGAAAAGAAAGGGGCTCTCTGTTCATCAGCAAACATCCCTTGTGTCATGTAGCAGTGATCAGTGAGGAAGAAAGGTGGCTGTGGCGCAAGCCTTGTGCGTGGACAGTGACAGTTTTAAAAAGATTGAGACTTCCTAGTGTGGTAAAAGGATGCAGGTGCCCTGTGATGTGGAACAGCGCAGGAACATGAAGTTGAAGTGAACCCTGCAGAAAATTTAATGCAGCATAATATGTAGTTCAGTGCACCCCAGGGATCTCTCTTAAAAAATGTACTTTAATTTGTAGCCCAAGTGCCAGAGCCACTCAACTTCACTGTGTTTTCATGCGTAACATCCGCAAGAGAAAGCAGCACTTACTGTATAAGAGACGTAACCTACATTACTTATTAATTTATACAAGATTCATTGATGTGCTGCTGCTTACATCAGAAACTTTCCTTTACAGAAATGCAGTGGAACGGTCCTTGAATAAAAGTAACCCGGTCCATGAAAGTGCAGGGGAGGATTGAGGGGAGGATCTCTTTGCTGTTATGCTCCACTGCTGGAATAACACTTGGAAAAGGAGGCAGCTGAGGAGGGAAGGGCAGAAACCACCCCACCAATGCAAAGCTGTTAGTTATGTGTTGACAGTAAAGTTGGTCAGGGTGGTCAGTATCAGTGTCTTGGGGGACGGACGGATGGACAATAGGGATAAGAAGGGCAGGAGATGCTGCCACCCCACCCCCCCAGCTTCATGGGGAAATTAAATATAAATTAAATATATCAAGTAAGAGCATACCCATGGAAAACAAGTCAAACCAGTACAGGGGTAGTTTTGCTGTTACTGTGGTTTTGCTTTGGGGGAAGATGGGAGAGACACAGTATCACACTCTGTCCTCGAGCTATGAGCAAGGAAGGTCCTTCAGTGGAGGCTGCAGAAATCCACGTTGTTTTTCAGTCAGATGGACAGTAGGAAACAAGGTGCATCCTTTGCAGGCTGATTCACTCAAGAAATTGCCTTTTGGCAGAGTTAAAATGAGACCCTGAAAGGGCAGTGCTGCTCCTGGTTTCCACAGATGCTTTTCGTTTCTATCACAGAGTGTACTGGGTTCATTCCTCGGCTGTGCTTCCATTTCTGGTAGTATCAGTAAGTGTGCTGAATTAACACCAAAACCAGAGCTGCAGAAGGTTTCACAGATACCTCTGTTACATTTTGTGTAGGCCACACTATGAAAAAAAAATGATTCTTGTAACTGTTTTACGGTGGCTTACTTTTGTGCTGGGACATTAAGTATCGTAAAGGTTTTTTTACAAATACTGTATTTAATTGAGAGCATTTTAGACAGACACAGGATTTTCCATGATACTATGGAGGAGGGAGTTTCCTACACCTTGTCCATTTTTTTTTTTTCCTTTTCCTGAAGAAATATCTGGAGTTGTATTTTCCTCGGAGGATTATTTTTATCCTGTACCTCCTTGTGCTTAACATATCTGCAGAAAGATGTGACCTAAATGGAAATTCTAATGATTCTGTTCCAGTATAGGAAAATCATCCCAAAGCACAGCTATTAAATAAAGATCACCGAGGAAAAGGAAATGGGTGTCTCACTTTTATTTTTATATTGATTAACTATTAGTGTGTCTTACCACTTCTGATACTAAAATGGATTTCGGGATTTTTAGAAAGCTGAAGGAAGGAGAAGAAAAGAAGTATTGTGAAATCCTTGGCACGTTAAAAAGAGTTTTCTGGTTTATAATTTACAATGCCCTTCAGTTTTTTGCAGCAGGAGCTGAGCATTGGTCTTGGTGGTATTCTTCACCGTAGAGGATTTGCAGCAATGATAAGCTCGTCTCCATCAGTTCATACATCTCAGAAGTAATATATATTGTATATCAGGCAGCATTAAGTAACTACTGGGAACTCTGTTTACTTGAATGGAGAAGTAGTAAAATGTTTGTGAATTTCATTAAACGTGGGTTTGGGCTGCTGTGGTCTTTATGGAAACGTGTTCTTCATGCTCTCGTGTTTCACAGCGGGTGCCTGATAGTGCCTTGGCGCACAGAGGGATGTGGTACACAGCGGCCACACTGTTTCATCCTCTGCTGTGTCTCTTCTTTTTATGGTGGTGTCCCTGTGTCTTCACTGCTGTGTTCAGATGTGAAAGGGTTTATTTTTTTACATTTCTTGCTTAGGTAAATGAAGGCATGGAAATATCTCCTTGAGGAGAACAAGCAGGGCTTTGGAAGAAGTGGGGCTTAATAGAGAAAGAAGTGCATATAGGATAAGATTATTGTTAAAATGTTAACTTGCTTCTTTTTAATACTGAAATCTTAGGAGACCACACAACTTTTCTGTCTGTCTATGCTCTCTCTGTGTGTACACACATTGCCTTAGGAAATGACTGTAGAGCTGCATTATGCTCCATTGTTGTCATGTACATCTTCCTAATTTCTCTGTCCTCCCTTTCTCTCCCTGCCTCCACATAGAAATGGAAAACCTTATGTAAAACTGACATGCAAAAAAAAAAAAAATTAAAAAAAAAAATCTTGCTGTAATGTTAGCACTGAAGGTATTACTTCAAATAATAACCACATCCACTGTGGGTTTAATTATTGTTTTATGGTAGTTATATTATTCTTATTTAATTAGTTTACTATAACAGTCTTCAAGAAAATATTAATGATTTTTTTTGAAGATATATGTGACTACAAAGAAAAAGAGTTGTAATTTTCTGTCTTCATCTTTATTAGATTTTCTATCTTATTCATCATTATGCCATTTTGATAATATCCAAGCTAATTATAGTAGTTCCCCCTGAATTTGGAAAAGATAAAAATACATGCAGTAAGTATTTCATCAGAGTTGGAGATTTTTACTAAAAGCTTTAAATAAAGGAAGTTGCCTTTCTTTTCTTGCATTTTTTTCCCTACATTTCTGCTCTCTCTTCTCTTTACTTTCAAGTACTTTTTTTAAAGACGTCTGTTATATGGAGCAATTAAGGCATAGTAGTAGCGTCCAAAATCCAGCTTGATTGTTAACAAAGTGGATTTTGCAGTCCTTCTGTTAAGTACTTTGATGGTAACAGCAGACAATGTAATATGCCGTTACCCCTGGTGTCTTTCTTGCAGTTTCTAATTTTATACAGTTTTTGTTTGATACATAATCTCATGTCCTTAAACTGTATGGCCATGGAGATAAGTCTGAACAAGGTTATAAAGGTTATTAGTCTTTTAGCTTGCTTTCCAGCAAACCCCTGCACACCCCTATGGACATGGCAGCCTGCACCTGGGAAACACCACGGGCAGTCCAGGGCTTCGGGGGCTTCCTCTGAGCAGACAGAAATGGTCGTGAAATAATACTAGAAGTAGAAAAGAAGCAACTTTAAAAGCCTGTGCTACTGAGGCACTACCTGGATTAAGCAGCATCCAAGCTGAGATCTGGCTTTAGACAATTCCAGCTACATCTTTTGGAGCATCAAGTTCTGTATATTTAATTTTCTGGTGTGTAATGGGCTTGAGAGAAGCA